TCTGCAGAATAGAAAGAAAATATATGAATGATTCAGTAAAGTAACAATGGAATTTAATTGCATTACAATTTTTTTAACTACAGCTAGATATACATGGAAATGAACCTTATATGTTCATTATCTTTAAATGTGCCCATGTACTTAAATTGGGTAATTACAGAAACAATTGCATAAAAAGGAGTTTATAATAAAATCTAACCCAAGAATGACAGCCTAGGGCATTCTCAGCAGCCTGAAATTTTTAGCCATAAAGATGATCAAATGAACTACTCTTCAATTCATCCCTTCCACTTTCCATGTTCCTGTTCTTTGTTCACCATTCACAAATGTAGTTTAACACTATACTTGACAATACTATTCCGATTTAATCCTTTAGTGTCTATTAATACAAGTTCATGATAAACCACTCGTTTTTTTTATTTGTCAACCAAACACTATACGACAGTCATCTGACAATAGACATATACACACTCAAACTAAGTCTTCACAGACAAAATCCAGATTGCAGAACATCTAATAGGCCATCATCCTTTCACCAGTCTCCTGACACAAAACTTTTGTGATGCAGTGTTTGTTTTTCAACAAGTTCTTAAATAAATACAATGATAATATGGAAATGAGGTTTTTTTATAAATGTATGCCTGGCTATAGTTAAACGTTTTCAAAAATTCATGTTACCATACTGATTAAAACAATCATATATTTCAAATTCCATTCTTACTAATTTATTCTGGAGTAAAATAATATTTTATTCACACAAGTATCCAAAGGAACATCACTATTCAATAACAGCTCACTCCAAAACTATTAATTACAATGTTTATATAAACCCTAATATTTGTAGTACACAGTAATTCTACTAACCCTTATCTGCATGAATTTTCTTTCCTTTCTTTTTTTTTATTTCACCATTAAACAATTAAAAAAAAAATTCTTCACCCTCAAAAGTTTGAAACGCACATGGTAACAACACCTTTAAGGATGTTATGGACAACAACATGACGTTCTAATTGCATTACTGCAACATTTTAAGGTGAAAGTTTGAACTATCTACAGAATGGTACATGGTGACCATACAATCACACCAGGCAGATAAGGGCTAATGCACTACCTGAACAAGAAAGAAGTGAGTTACATACAAAGTCTTTGATGTACCCTAATGTTCAAATGTAAAAATTACAAAAAATATAGGGCAAATGAGCATTTTTCTATCATTACTTCAGAGAGCTCCCGTACTAAAGCAAGTACATCTATTAACATTGTAGGCATTTATAAAATATTGAGCATATGACAAATATGTTAGAAGTTGCTCTTAACTGATAGCTTCATATAAAAAGTCGTTATTTCATTTAAGTAAAATATGTAATTTCTTAATAATTTTTTAAAAATAAAAGAATAAAAAAAGGTGAGAAATGCAACAAAAACTAAATATAATATTAAGATTTGACAATAATGAGAAATAACTGACTAAACCTTTTGTCTTTTTCCAAAATTCTGAAAGATAATTTAATTGTAATGTAAAATTTATTTACAAATTTTTTTACAGTAGGTACTGACCTATAGAACACAAAAGTAAAGGCTGAAAGGCTTCATATTCGAATTCTAAGCACCTAAAGAAGAAATCTCCACTGATAAAAACAATTTCACAATTCCACTGAACAGATAAATGTTTGGACAAAATTGACACAGAAATTAGGTTTGTCACATTTCAATGGTAGTACATTACAACTAGGTATTCACATGATGTACCGAGGCTAAAATAACAAAAAAGCATTAAGACATAATTCACAGCATTCTTGAACTTTTTGAGCAGAGAATTTATAAAGCTATGAAGAAGTCATAAATCTGGCATTTGCCTTTTTCTGTAGTAATGCATGGCAACAGTCTTTGTAGTCATTTCTGTCACAATAAATTTTTTTTCCATTAAAATTATCTGACAACTGTTACAATCTTGATAATCAGTTTTTTTCCTTATAAGCCATGTACTGGCAGGAATCATAATTGAGCAAACTTAGAATTAATGTTTTTAAGAGCAAATGACAAAAGTTTAACACAGAAATTTCTTTTTAAAGAAGTCTAGATCATTAAAATATTTAATATATCATATGAAAATTTGTATGGGAAATAACATGCATTTCACTTTCATCACAAAACATTAAATATTATATGTATAATGGAACACATAAGATATTCATGGAGAAATGCTTCAATGAATCAAACAAACAAAATATCAGTCATACTGAAGTAACTACATTCATCTCAGTCCAACTATTAGCAATCTTACCAAAACATAATTTTTTTCATTAAAATTTAGATGTGGCAATCAATACTTCTATCATAAACAATCATGAAAAATCCCCTGTGAATTTACACAGAGGAGAACTGTAAATTAGAATATTCTTGTATGGTTAATATCACAATGTAAAACATTTATTTCAAATCTTAACATATTTGAAAGGGAAAAATGTTGAGAGCATTCATCCTTGATTTGACTAACTTAACAGAAAATATCCTGCTATTGCATATTACAATTACAATTTTGGACATTTTATATTAATGAATCATTAAAAAATCTATCTGCAAACATTAAATGCAATACATTTGGAATTCTGGTACATAATGTTCACAGAATTGTCATATATCGTTGATCCCACAGAATAAGCTGACAATACAGATTTTGCTGAAAATGAGATAAATACATATACAACAAATTCCCTAATCATTCTTCAGATGCCTGTATAAGTTAAATTCCTTCTGGTTGCTGAGTAATTGGCACATTATTTATTAATATAAGATATATTTAATAAAATTATATGCCCTTGCAAGAATATTAGTTATATGAGTATCCATGCTATAACAATGATTTGAGATCATCATTAAATAAGTTGTCTTTATTCAGCTACAAGATTACTTCAAATAATCACAGGATGGTAAAGATGTGTTTCTTTCCTGTAAAATTTAGTTTTTAAACATTATCTGCTTATTCAGAGAGGTCAATGATATATTGAAATTAATTCGAATGGTCTCAGATATTCTTGATATCACATAGCATTAAATTCAATTATCATTTCTCAAATTTTACCAACAGGAAAATCATTTATGGAAGAAATAAGATTTTACAGAATTTACAGTAACGTACTGTGCTTATATGTATATTACTCACAGAATAAATTTATACTTAAATATTGAAAATAAATATAATTACATGGTAAACATAATAGTTATAGGTCAAATAGTTTATTCAATGAAGTGCCAACACTTTATAAATCTCTATTACTAACAAGAAGTGAATTTGTCATAAACCAATGTGAAGTAACATAATACCCACTATATGTGCTTCTGCACTTCACCCCACAATAAAAAAAATTGGGGGGGGGGAAGGCGCACGCAAGAATATACTTAACAGAAACCCGGAATTGCAGCAACAGATGATGTACTGAATGGTTCCAAGTTCTCTGTCCCAGTGACATCAAGGGATTTCACAGACTGCTGGACATTGGAGCATAAGGGGTTCAGTGGAAATTCAGGAAAGGATAGGTAGAAAGCTGGTTAAAAATGCAAAGAGCTCCCAAATCAAGAAAATTTACCTTACTCAACCAGAAGGCCATTAGCCTATGCTAAAGCTAATCTACCTCACTCCGCCAAGATTGAGCCTATGAAATACCGTATATACATTTTTTAGTAGGTGGTGTTGCCATAAGTGAAAACTAAGTTCTCTGCACTTTTTAATATGGAGAAAGCCACATAACATTTCATAATAAATTTGAGATATCAAATATTATTCTTACATTTTTGCCGTATTTTGTTAACAAGCTTGCAATAATAGAGTTCCAAACTCATTACATAATATCAAATTAAATACATATTAACACTTGTATTGACTGATTGACATTTTTGCATGTGCCAATTGCTATGGTCATTAACTCCATTATTGCAGTGAATGTTGTATTGCAGGAGGAGGCAGTGGAACTGAGATCACTGGAACATGAGATCCGGTGCCAAGCTACACTTCAACTTGGGGCAGGGGAGAGAAACTCCAGGTATCTCCACTACCAGGGCACTGCCCCAGCCGGGACGTCTTGGGTTCCCAACTAGTCTTCCTACATGTGTGATAGTGTATGTGAGTATGTGTAAGGGGTGATGAAAGGACAAGGATGAGGAAGGAAAAAATCATGCACAATCTGTGGCATGTTTGTTGGCTGCTGCTCCAGCACTCGCCTGGTATTGATCAGAGAAAGTACAGAAAACCACCAATCAGAGCAGCCCGCCACTAGAATTCTCCTCCAAACAGTGACTGTCCTTGACCAAGATATCTAGCTAGTGATGAAAATCCACCATTGCAAACACTTAAATTGTTTGCAGGAGTACTCCACTTGTAGAAATGACTAGTAGTGAAGCACTGAAAATCCAAGCCTTCAACAGCAAGGTAAGCAATGAGCGACCTCCAGTGGGGTTGGAGGGGAAGACTTGCATGCAAACAAAATCATTGCTGTTTTTATGTTTTCCTGAAGCTCTCACAGAAAAAAAACAAGCTTGAGTGAGCCACATGTTTGTGATTTGTAAATTACAAATGCTCATTGCTTCAGACTCAGATTGCAATGATTACCTTTCCCTCACTTATTGCAATGCAATATTGTACAGCCTCACCAAGCAGACGTTTGCAAAACAGAGAGTACACCGTGTGCACTCATCCACTTCTTTTTCAGCTTTTAAGAGGCTATAGCTGAATAAGAATGTAAAAAATGCTCCCAAAATGAACCAACTCTTCATGGAATATGTTTGGAACCAAAAAAAAACCTAAGATTTACCCATTTTCAAAATCTTGTTAATACTCAATAATAAAAACAAAAATAATTCAGATAATTTTGGGAGGGACATTTGAATTTTTAAACCACCTAAATGAAAATAAAGTTTAAAAAAATTAAAATATATAAATAAAAATAATAAAATAAAATTAAAAAAAACTGAAAAAAAATTGCAAAAATGCACATGCAACGCTTTCATAAAATATATTTTTCTATTGTAGCACCTCTGATATTTTGCAAAGTAAAAGGAATATGGGGCCCAAAATTGCGAGAAAAAAACAACAGATTTTAAAGTTTATCAAGTATTTTCCACTTCTCAAAAAATTTTGAAAACATTATTTTGATTGTTTGCATAAAAATACATAAAAACTATTTTTTCTGTAGTAGCACCTTTGATAAGTTTTGAAATGAAAAATATTTTGTGATTTTTTGGGTCATTTTTGAGGTTTAAAAAATTCAAATTTCCCAAAATTATCTTAAATTATTTTTTCTTTCATTAATGAGCATTTAAAGAGACATTCCCACCCATAACTGATGTTAAAAAAATTTAACATAAGTAGAGAAAAATGAAATGTATGAAAACGTTTTTTAATAAAATGGGGGTCAACAGAGGGGAATGAAAATCTTAGTTTTTCTTGGTCCCAAACTTATTTTATTTACATTACTTACACACTACTCAAAGGTAGAAAGATAAAGATGATAATGTAAATAATTTAGCGCTGTTGAATTGTTTTATTCGGATGTAAATTTATGTCATTTTATTTTAGATTTATAGACTATGTAGATTGCTGACATTCAACTAGAAATGTTGTTTTGAATAACAGAATGGACAACACGTGGGAGATCACAAGTGTTACTATGAATGTAATGAATATGTATGTATACCAGTGATGATAATACTTATGTAATAAATCAAATGAAATAACATAATGTATGAATGTGCAATTTTCTGTTGTCTGAATATGGAGATAATATTTCTCTCTGAAACGTAACAATGTGTAGTTGAATAAGGTAATTAAAAGGTGATTGTCAATAAAAAGACTGGACCTTAATGTGTTTGTTATATTATTAAATACGTTAATGATGATCTATACCTAAACAAACGAATAATCAATATTTCTATTACAGTTGGTTCAAAACAATCAGGGACATTTTTTATTCTTATTCCATTAATAGCATTTGTTAAACTTGTAGGGCCTAACAACCCATTGCTCTTCCTTCACCCTCAGTGAAAAGACAGGCCATCTTGTCAGGGTAGCAGAATTCAGAACCAGAGAGTAATACGATATCCTGTATCAAGAGTTATGGATATTTTGCTCAAACACTATACAAGGGCCACAGAAATCACTATTGCTGTGAAAATTCAGCAGAAGTCTCAGTCAGCAATCTGGGAGAGCCCAGATTACTTAGAATATAGTGTAAGAAATGATATTCCAACAAATCAAACATGGAAGATTTTCTGCCACACAAATGTCTTATTAATTCTGATTATTATTAACAGTGCTTTCAGTTCTTGGCAATCCTAAATGCTCCTCAAAAAAGGTAATTTAAAATGTAAAGCTTACAGTTTACATCTACAAAAATACACATTTAAATCATCTCAACTAATGCAGTACTTGGTACTATGATATGAAAGCTGAATAAGGTACATTATGATTCTTAAAACTAACCTAAACCCATCACAAGTGAGTTTAAATGTAATTTGAGGATGCTAAGAATACTATTTAAACTACAAATGGATCAAGACAAAAATTAACTTGTAAGTGATTCACTATTTCTGCACTTTGTGAATTTGCAATTCTTTAGTGGCAAATATTGCTTTTAAAAATATCACACAAATTCAATACAATTCAATCACAAACTGATACTAATAAGTATTTGAAAATGATTTTGCAGAACATGAAATGTTTTATAAAACACTATTTTACTTTTGATATTTATCTTCAGCTGAATGATTAGATTAAGTCAGGCAATAAGAGTTTTCTTTTCATACTTATGTTTCTATATTTAAAGCAAAGTAATAATAAAATTCTACAATAAAAAGAATGCAGAATTCAAAACTAGATTGTAGTAAGATACCACGCATCGACAGTAATGGATATTTTGTGTGTGCACTTAATAAGGGACACAGAAACTGTAGAAATTGTTTAATTGTAGAATTTTACAATTACTCAGTTTAAATTTAGAATTATATGAAAAAAGATTGAATTAGAATTATATTGAAAACAAAAAAGTTTTAAATAAACTGGTTTGTTTTAATTTCTGGATGGGAATGAAGCTTTGAATGTAATATTTTAAAGATTAATACATTCACTGAAAATATGCAGTGGCAATTAGTCTGCAGAGTGATGATTCCACACCAAGACACTACGACACTATGTGCCCCTTTTTTAAGCATTTAAGGAAATAAATCATCATACTAATGTGGCAGACCGAGGAACACTCTGATCTTGATACCATTCCAACATTTCTGTCGAGAATGCATCAGCCAATGATTTTCCATTTCCAGCACGTTTCCCATCTGCACTGGGCTCTGAACCAACCACCCGACTCCTGAAACAAGCAATGTTGAAATTAATACATTAACCATTACAGTAATATTAAAAATTTTAAAGATGCAGCCAATTTAATAAATTTTGCATTTAAACTTGTGAGAATAATGGTATGGAAGTGAACCACTCATTAGTAAGAAGAGAATGAATTTCAAATCCTCAGAATCTGATGTCCTATTCAAAGTATAATATGCCACAAGAGCTCTATCTTCACCCTTCAGATATTGGCTTTCCATGATCATCAACCCTTCTCTGAACTGCTAAAGCATAATGTTCCTTATTTTGATATCTGCCAGGATGCATGGTCCCTAAATGCTTATAAGACAGTATCTACAAAACTACTGGTACAAATTTAAGAATGTAAGTACAGTATGCACAAGAAATTCTGTTCACTAAATTAAGATAAATTTTGTGATGAAAAAATTCCAAATAATGAAATATTGAACTTTTTGAGAGTGATACAATTCAAAACCGACCATGACATACAAACATGCTTTTCCGGAAAGGTGTCCTGTTTTTTATTATTATGAACGCTACACAATCTCATACAATCCCTCACTTCTGCTTTTTGTATCATCACTAAGACCTGACAATTCAAAACACACCTCTAGCATACTTCAAAATTCTATGCACACAATCACTAAACAAATTGTAAATACAAAAGTAATGGCAGAAAGATACATAAACTTCCGCAATTGAACGGTAAAGACTGTATTGTAATACTATCTACTGGTCAAAGACAGTCTTACATGTAATTGCTCTAAATTCCCTTTGAAAATCATAAAATGTTACAAGATATGGCAGTAGCCCGGTAGAGCACATCATACATCATAGTTACATAATTGAATGGTTAACTGAAATCTGCTGAATAAGAAACTGTATACAAATTAGTCCTTAAACACTGGACTGTGCACTGTTCAGTATTTCAAAGCTTATACTATTGCAACCAAGAAAACAAAAAAGAATGAAAAAGAAAAAAAAAAACAGTAATGACAACATCTGCAGATATAATTTGTTACTTATAGAGTAAGAAGTTTAAAAATTTCTAAAATTAACCTCAAAAGGTTCCTCTCAATTTCTTTGTAAATGTTAAGCTCCCTCTTAAATTTTCCTGCCAAAAAATACTTTCACATTAAGCCATATTTTTTAAATTATATAGCTGCTTAGTACAATCTTCCATAAAACATATTTGAAATTTTCCGCTACCTGAATTCTGAGCCAGTCTCAGGCACTGTACTAACCTGCTAGACCCTGCAGTGCTGGCTGGATCCAGAGGTTGGCAGGTCATTGGCTGCAAGGGTTGGTAGATCCCTTTTTGCTGGGGCGTAGGAGAATTGCTACTTGGGCTAGTTCTTGCTTGTGAATATACAGTATTGTTTTGAACAGGAGGATGATACACATCATTCACACTATGATGAGGAGAAGAATGGACAGTGCCTGAATGAGGATGAGGTGCATGAACAGGAGGCTGACCAGACCAAGGGCCAGTCTGAGAATTAGCCATGTGTTTCCGAAATTTAGTACTGTACTTATAGAAGTCTGCCATTTCAAATGGTTTTGTAACTTCACGATATGGTTGCCATTTCCCAGCTTGTACCACCATGTGGTTTTTGGGGGATTCAAATGGCACTACTGTGTCAAAATTTTCTGGTGAAACCATCTCTTGACATTTGGCTTGGAGAGTATGATAATTGGCATGATGGTCATTTGATACATTACTACTACTTCTTGATAGATCACTAGACACATCACTGATATGATCATTTGGCACTGAGTCAGCAACAGGGACATCATTTTTTGGGTTATGAGCAGATACATCTTGAACAGCTGACATAATTTTCATCTCGCTGAGTGAGTGACCACTAGGACGTCGCGATGGAGGGCATGAGCGCTGCACTGGGGCAGGTAAATGTGAGCATGGAGTTGAATCAAGAGAGGTTTCATACCATTCCTTTTCTTTTTGTTTTCGAATCAAAGTATCACTAGGTGGAGCAAATCTCTGCTGGTCCTTCACACTCCGAGTATCACCATTAATAGATACATGAGATTGCATAACTGACGCTGATGTTTCTACACTACCTAAAGATTGTGTCCGAGTTAAGCCTTGATTGTTAACACCAAGACTATGCTCTGGATAAGTCTGACTGGGCAATAATGCCCCACCACCAAGTGGCCTATTTTCTGTACTAGAACTAGTACTTGCAGAGGTGCGGGAATGTGGTGCAACATACTGTCGCCTGACATCAATTCCAGGATCAACACTGGCATGGGGAGGCGCAGCAGAATAATAAGCAGTATTGGAACCAAGAGGTGGCATTTTTTGTACTTGCATACTAATATCATCAACACCATATGCTTCTAAACATGGACTGCTACTGCTATGTGAAGTTCTGGTATAACCACGATCAAGGCTCCCAAATCTGAAAGCAAATATTCAATAATTTCACTTCACAATTACACTCATTAGTATACACTCGTTAGTAACACATTGACTGCTGTTGACTCAAAACAAACATGTTCAAATGTGCCACCTATCTTTTCTTGAGAAATTTAAAATTAATATAAAATTCAACATTAGGATGTCGACGAACACAAACATGCTTAAATGTGTTTTATTTGTTGACATTTTTAAGTGCCAGTGGCACTAGAAGAATATTGTGGAGCCGAGTGCGGCACAATGCTTTAAACCATAATTCTTGTTTTAATTTTCTTTTACTCAAATGAAAAACACAAATTTAAGGACTTGCAAACAAAACACTTTTATTGAAAGCAAAACTACAAATCAGTTTGTGAAAAATAAATTCACAAATTGTTCACTACCAGTTGTTACATAATCACTAATGTCTCTTTCATCATACTTCCTTCTTGCTGTGCCTTTCATTGCCAATTTGTTCTGCTGCTTCTTCTATCACGCATAATTTTTCTTTCACAGTGAATTATCACGCTTCAAGTTCACCACATTATCCACGTTTTCTCGAGACCTCATTTTGCTAGAAGCAAGAGGCTTGTGAAGGGGGGGGGGTATTTCGGTGACAGGACTTTTATATCAAATCTGTAGCTCGTTTTTCCATCGCAAAATAGTTTCTGTTACATGGAAGAGAACGTTTGATTTCTTGTCACCAAATTTTGTCAACATTTTTTGCTATCATTTATTCTTAATTCAACTAATGTTAGAAAAGGATTTATATGGCATATATGGCCTGAGCCTCACAACTAATAAAGACAAGCATTGTAATTTCTATTCTTATTACTATCATTATTGTTAAAATTATACCTGTCTTTTTCTATCTGCATATGACTGTGGACAGAAGCCAGTTCAGGATTTTGTGCCATGGTACAATGAGAAGGCTCCTTCAGAACATGATCTCTATGCTCTATCCCTTCAACTGCTGCTGGATACATCTGATGCATTTGGGATGTCCTGGATAAAGTGGTATAAGGTACATTCTCCACATCAGTTTCATACCTGAGCCAATACCCAGGTAAAGAGCAACCTAAAACAAAACATCACAATCATGTTGTTTCCCCTAAATAGACATTATGAAGTCATGCCTCTGTGGGTGGATTGAAATGTAATGTCCAGGAGGTATTCATTCTTTCAGTTGACAGACAACCAAGCAACGTTTTTATTGCTCAAATTTTAATATTTTTTTGTGTACTAAGGAAGTATAAGCTTGCCTGGATCCTTGTGGGTCAGGCTGATGCTCATGGGGTTACACCATTAAATTCCAGAGATGTCCGTGATAATGGGGTACCTCAACAGAGGAGCATTTGAGTGGAGTGGTCAAGACTAGATAGTCAGCAAGTCTATTTTTTTAAATTTATTTATTTACGTCAAAAACAGTTAAAAACTGCATGTGACATGCTATGGGGAGAAGTTAATTTGAAGTTACCTTTATGTCCAGAAGCAAAACAAGGGGCCATCTCAGCATTTTCTTGAGGATCAGGGAAACTGGACGAAAACCTGATCGAGATGGGGGTCATTGAGCCAGAAGCTGAAGTACAATACTTGTTACAGGTTCTTTTGAATTATACAATCCAAATGGTAAATGTCACATTAAATGTCATTGTTAAAATTAATATTACTTTCTTTTTGGATATTCGTTATAGTCTCTAATTGTGTAGAAACAGTTGTGCAGCAGAAAAGATTTTACTTGGAACTTAAGCTTTTGCATAGAATTTAATAATTTAATGTCATCTAGCAAGGTGTTGTAAAATAATGTACACGTATTATATGTGAATTTTTTGTAGTGAGCTGTTGATACCTTCACTTGATGAGTATGATTACTATGTTGAACACTGTAGTAATAGACAACGGTGTTTGCTGAAAATTTATTTCCGCCTTTAAGCAAGACATTTTTGACAAAAACCACTGATGCATATATGAAGAGACAAGGTAAAGGTAAAATACCTAGTTTAATAAAGATAGGCTTACATGAATCAGTTGGGTGGGATTTGCTTATTATTCATACAATTCTTTTTCATATTCTAGAAGTCTGGGAGCAATAATTCGCCATATCTCAGGCGGGAATGAACATTCGAGAAATATACACAACAAGCAGTATGGAGGCTGACTGAATGGGAAAGAATTCTGAAAGCGTAACATAAAGAACTTACTTTGGTCTATTCATTTACATGAACGTTCTATTTAAGGTATGACTGGATTGAAAGACCTACATATTTTGTTACCTTAACAAGTCCAATTTCTCTCTCTCTTTCTCGCTTACAGTGGTTCCTTGACACTTAATTGCAAAAGTGCACAGCAAGCCTGTGGCCTTTGAGAGATGAACAAGTTTCTGGTGCATAAAATGGAACGTTGGGCTAAGATAAGGAAAATCCAGACAGAAAACCAACAGCAAAAGATCTATAAGCACAAAGATGTCAGTTCATCTAGGCAAGATAAGTGAAAAACAAACCCTGCTCACCCCAAAGTCATGGGGGTTTGATAAAGTGTCAAGAAAGCCAGCATGGCTCTTACAAAAAGGTAGAACAGTTTGCTGTCCTCAACAGCAAAGTTTCGTTGTCAGAAATAACAACAATATCTCCATATCTCACTCAGTTATAAGTGGCGGTATTAGTTCTTGAACCAATCCTCTTCATTTTTTATACCTATGATTTGGGAGGCAATATTAGGACAGCATGGAATAGTTACACAACTGACATTAAAATCTATGCAAGATTTTGACGTGCCACATAATCTACTTTGGACAATTAAAAGATAAAGATTATAGGAATTGTCTCTTAACCATGATAACTGCACTGTCCTTTATCTGTATCCCAAGAGCCCCAAATCCAAATATACATATATCATTTGCTGCTTGTGCCATGCTGCTACTGAAAGGATCTCGTATGATATTATGGGTAGCAAAAGAACCTTCAGAGAGTGGGTCAGTCAGTGCACGAACTTCCTCACTTATTGGTCATCTCCTTCGTTACTCTCTGCCGGGAACGCCTTTGACCTTCCTTGGAACAAGCTATTACCTCCCGAGATCTTCAGAGAGCTCCCGCACACACTCAACTGAAATTTTTTTGAAGTTCTGCTGCCGGAGGTGGTCCACAAGCTGACTGCACCACCACCCCACGGGCTCACGTGGTCTTGGTTCCCTTAGCTAGTCTGAGTTTCGCTTCTATATTACAAGTTTCATTAGCGGGAAGTCGCCCCAAAGGCCAAGAGACAGGTCGCTCCGCAGGAGTGATCCGGAGTGCGCCGATTCGAGTCCCATACAAGTTCTGGGCTCTTGGCACAGATTGCCCCGCGCATCACTGGGATCATTTGAACGTTATAAGGTATTAAAGGGACTTATATTATGAATGTATAAATGTGAAAACATATTAACGTAAAACACATAACTGAAATAATTTAGCAAGAAAATTATAGGAATTTATCCAGGACTTCAAAAAAAAAAAATACAACGTATTAATGTGAAAAACTTATAAGCAAAAAAATGTATAAATGTTCGCTGTATGCAATGAAAAGACACAGAAGAAATCCACATTTTAAGATTCTTGACAGGTTATAAATTAATAGATTATAAAAGAAATGAAAATTTCTGATGTGAATTAGAAACAACATCAGCGTATGAAAAAAAAATATTGGCTAAATTTGCTTGAACACCAGAAGCAAATCGATACGGAGCAGGTACACCTATTGTTAGAGTACAATTTCATAGTAAGAAGTAGAGATTATCCCCACATAAGATGGAGAGATCAATTGCCATTCCTATAAAAGCCTGTGATTGGAACATTTGTGGTGATAAATCTGCACATTAATATTTTCTAGCAGATGTCCACACGTAATACAAATAAGATAAGGGATAATATTACCTGGATCCAACCGTTCCCTTTGAACCATATATCCCAATTCAGCCGTGGTGGGTAGGGTAGAGTAATGCTGATTAGGATACTGACGATGATGATGGTGATGGTGATATGCGGCTGCAGCTGCATGTCTGTTAAAAGAGAATATGCACAAGGGGAAAATAAGGTGAATTTATGCCCTCTCTAAAATATTTTCTTAATTGCTGGAAATATTACTTTTCTTCAACTTGCAGAGATCTTAAAAATGTTTATCAACATTTTTTTGCAAAAAATGTAAAAATTGTCATTTCATTACTAAACCAGGTGGTTAAAGAAGCTGATATTGTTATGATGCTAATATGTTTATACAAGCAAGATTATTTGCCATTTAATTTACTGAATGACATTTATAGAAAAATGTATAAAAAGTATTACCGTTTTGATTTGGAAAAGTACAAAAAAATAATACCTAAGATATGCTTTGTTGTCCTGATTGACTGGAGCAGATAAACCATTAAATGATGAAGAATGCCACATTCCAGTTTGCAATACTTGAACATTTCCATCATGATGTAAATGTCTGCTGCGACCAATGTCATGATAGCGATGATTCACATTGTCCGTTTCTAATTCTTGATGAAGGGGTCCAATAGGAGATAAACTTATTCCTTCATCATGTAAAATGGGATCCTGTTCTTGATTATCAGCATCTACAGAGAAACACTTTATAATTCTTATTACCTTTTAAAAACAAAACTAAGGCTTACTGATTATTACTTTCAAATAACCAAATAATACAGTCTTCCAATATCATCATTAAAAAAAAAGTTTTTTTTGTGCGGAGGCAAGAGTTCCTACAACTGTGACAAAAGCAATCACATATTTTCATACATTTGTAATTATTACTACACAATTAACGGCGAAGTGTAAATTAATGTTAAAACTACCATATTTACCCGAATTAAAGACATGGATTTTTTCCTGTTTTCATCCTTTAAAAATCTGGGGTCGTCTTATATTTGCGTATAATGAAAAATTCACGTATGAAGAAAACGCAATATCGACGGTATTATGTTGTTCCTGGTATAATACAAGTTATCTTCACAAAGAAAAATTATTTGTAATTGGTATTCCACTCTTTTATTATTATTGGATGTGCTTATAATTGAAATAATAATATGTAAAATAATTTCCCCTAGCCGTTACACAGCAGCGTTAGATAGGATTTAGGTTTTTCTTGGCAGCTGTTAGCTGTGTTGTAACAGCTGTGATGTCGCCAAAGCCTTCCTCGTGACCAACAAGAGAGAGACACGTAGGCCACAAGCCTTCCTTCCCCATCCACATCGTTGAGTACCGCGACTTTAGTAGTCGTTTGGTAGTAGTGTTCGTGCTTGGTGGTTGTGTTGTGTAGCTGTGTGCCAATACATTAGTGTGGCAATGGCCGACCACGTGGAGAAAAGAGGAAGCATAGAACTTATCAGAAATGTGGAACAACATACAAGTGAAGACACAAACTTTAAATTGCGAGAAATTCATCTCACTGAACAAACAAACAATAGTAAAGCTACATGGCGTTGGAGAGGTACGAAGGAACACCTGATATCTTGTAATTCCACAAGGAAATGTTTCCGTGGACCATAAGTGGAGCGCCATCCCGAAATCGAAGATGAAGTTGTCGAATTCATAATAAATTATAACAAGGGTTTACAATTTTCTACAAACAGCATTCACATGAAAGCATTAAAAGTAGCAAGGAGAAACATTTCCTGACAGGAATTCAATGTAAGTGTCAGCTGGTGCATATGGTTTATGAGAAGGAAAGGGTTCAGTCTATGTAGAAGAACTTCCCTACTGCAAAAGCTGCCTGCAGATTATGAAGATAAAACAGATAAAACTTCTGGAGTACCAAAAGTACATTATACAATTGCGCCCTCAACACAACCATTTGTTGAGTTAAATGGGGAATGCCGATGAGACCCCATGTACTTCGACATGCCCTCTAACAATACAGTGGCCACAAAAGGGTGTAAATCAGTTATGATAAAAACATCTAGAAATGAAAAAATGCATGTTACGGTCATGCTGGGAGTGTTGGCACATAGCAGGAAGCTACCACAATGTGTTTTCTTGAAAAGGAAGAATTTGCCCAAAGTAAAGCTACCAAATGGAATAATTTATAAATGCAATGAATCTGGGTGGATGACTGAAAGCTTAATGATTTCTTGGCTTCAAGTAGTTACCGGGAGCCCTATTACAGCAGAGAGGATTGTTAACCCTTGATGCCTTTAGGGGCCACCTGACAGAAGTGAAAAAGAAAGTTGCTAGTTTAAAAACAGACTTAGTAGTAATGCAAGGAGGCATGACCTCACAGTTGCAAGTCCTTGATGTGACTGAACAAATCTTTCAAGCACCAACTCAGACGCCAATATGAAGAGTGACTGTTATCAGGGAATTGCCCATTAACTCCTGACATCAAAAAACCTTTAGTTGGACGGCTTGGTCTGTGGATTCTAACGGCATGGTATACTATATCAACTCAACGCATAATAAAAGGTTTCAAAAAGTGCTGTGTAAGCAATAGTCTGTATGGCACAGAAGATGATGTGTTATGGAGTGAGAATGATGGACATGAGTTGAGTAACGAGAGTTGAAACATGTGAAGATGATGATTGAGAGATGATTAAATGATGAATGTGGATGTGGTAAAATTTAAGTTTAATTCCTGTACTGTATAAAATATTGATATGCACAAAATAATTTATGCATAATGTTAATAAATATGTAAGTAATATAGATGTGTTTTCTTTTTAAATTTCATAGGAAACGAATATCAAGTTATAAAAACCAGGGTCGTCTTATATTGGGGAGTATTTTTCCCCTGAATTTCAAGGTGTAAAAACATGACTCATCTTATATTCGAGCGCCTTATATTTGGGTAAATATGTTAATAAAAACTGTATCCTGTTCATGTTACGTGAAATACAAACATCCAATACAGGTTTTATGACATGCACTATATTTTCAATATAACCAATTTAAAAGAAATGTGCAAAACACTGCCTGCCATTTAATAAAAAGGATTTCTTCAATGATTTTGTTTCATCACTACCACCCAGATGTAGCAATACTCTTACACTACTTCTCCAAATAGTCATCATTTCTGTCCAAATGCATTTGGTACCTTGGCAGATTTTTTATACCTTCATTATATCTAATTACATCCTGTTGCCGTAGCCAGTGGTTCAGCTTTTCTTCCCTCTCTTCATCAGTCGCAAACTGTTTGCCTCCAAAGTGAAACTAGAGTTGTCGAAAGAGATGGAAGTCACCGGGGGTAAGGTACAGAGAATAAGGGAATGGTGAAAGAACAACACTTTCCGAGGCAGAAAACCAGGATGTTTTCATTTGATCACAGCTCTGAGGTTTGTGTTGCTCAGCTGTGATCGTAGCATGTCAGGGCAGGCAGTTCAGGAGTAAAACACTGATTTCTAGGAAAGTTCATACCACTTCTATCTGTTTCTGCTTGTGAGCATCAGTAAGTAAATATGGGACCCATATTGCAGACATTTTGAAAAAGTAAGATATGTGACAGGATCATCTTAAGAAACGAGAGTCCAATTTCCATACCAGAAGGCAGTTGAATCATTATGTTATCAATGCTGATGCGTTGATCTTTGGCCACATTACGAACTGCACAGTGGCCCCATTTTCTGTAGCAATAACAGGCCTACTGTTGCGCTCATCACCCATGCACAATACGCTGTCCTTTCAGGAACTATGAACGCCTCTGGGGAACCATGAATCCATGCTCATGAATCCTTCATAAATACACATTAACAAGTGACAAATATTGTTAGCCAATTCATTTTTCGCTCACAATTCATTTTTCATTCAAAAAAGTGAATGAGAGAACGTATTTCACCTGCGGACTTGCTTTCAAGTGGTATTTCCAAAGCAGATGGCATGGTACTGGCGAACGTGGAGAAGGCACATGCTGATGAAGGTCAAGTGCTGTCACCTTACCCCAATGAAAGTTCCTACGCACCAACTTAAGCTTTAATAATGTGGTTTGCACAGAAAAAAGTAGGGGATTTTAATTATTGGACAGGCGCTACATACCATAAAAAAAAAAGAAGAAGAAGAAGAAGAAGAAGAAGAAGAAGAAGAAGAAGAAGAAGAATACCCTTTAAAAAAATTGAATATTCTTTTGTGTTTGTAATTATTGAACTTTAGAGGTTTTAATGATGAACCTATACCATATTATTAACCAAACTTAGCTCTTTTCAAGCAAATAAATTTAAAAACAAGATTTGAGGGTGTTTTTTGAGAAAAAAACTGTCTTCCTTTAATGATCACAATATCGCTTAAAAGTATGTAAAAACTACTTTCATTTTCAAAAAATTGAATGGAACATTAATTAAAAGATCTAATTTTAAATAAAATATTTCACTAAGAAAAATTTCAGGAGAGAATCCGAATATTTCCTTGGTTTCATTTTTCTTATTTTGAACATGCACCGTTTGTATAATTTAAACTATTTCAGCAAAAAAATTATAGAAAAAATTTAGAGGTCATTTTTGAAAAACGTTTGAAAGTGACCTAGAGGTTTGAAGAACTTCCGAAAACTAAAAGATCTGTTTCAAATCTAAGTAACTGTAACATCAGTCAGGTTGATCAAGGAATACCTATTTTGGAGCAAAACTTTACAGTTTAAGCACTAGTGTTATTCAGTGTCATATGGGCATAGAGGTCGGCATTTTGAAAAAAGAAGAAAAAAATACTTTCAGTATCAGAGATTCCTAAAAAGTATTTCCATCAAAATCTCGACATTGATTGTTTGCAACATTACATACATTTCATTAATCAACATATAAGAGAAAATAAAATTTGAGATGCTTGTCTTGAAGCTTATTTTACTCGTGAATCATCAACATCTAAAGAAGGTGATAATGAAATTGAGATAAACAGTAGAGCATCTATTCTCCCTCTGCAAACAACAGTGACCCTGCAGCACAAGATAGCAAAAATACATGATGATTGTAAGTAGAAAATTCGAAAAAAAAATGTTCCACCAAAAGCATATTGCATTTCTATACGTGAAATCAAAACCATTCAACAGTTTGACTTTTGATAAAAATCGCGAAAAATTTAACATGTTAATAGTAATTAATTAAAAGCCGATCCGGTGGCCGAGATCGCTAAGGCAGTAGTGCCGTTGTGAACTCGTACCGAAAGATCGCGGGTTCGAGTCCCGCCTCAGGCATGGTTGTATTGTGTTCGTCCTATCACCCCCTATCATCAATCATTCTCCATCTCTCATCATCACCTTTCTGAATAACATTCAGAATTGTAACTTGAGGATTTATCCTCACCTCAAGGTGATACCTTCAACAGTCGACCATGAACAGTAAAAAGTGAAGTGGAACGACTCAAGTGGTCCAATGTGGCCAATCAAGTTAATAATAATAATAATAATTAATTAAAATTTTTATAATAATTAAATATTAAAATCTAAGAATAAAAAACTATATTTTAGGGTAAAAAATTAACAAATAATGGTATACCAATTGGATGCAAAAGCCACCAGACTCAGCCCTTTCAAAATTGTGATAAATGGCCTCAATAAAAATACAAGTATTCCCCCTCCTCAATCTCAGGACCAGTTACTTTTTGCTCAGAAAACAGCCTGGTCACTAAGTTTCATTAGGTGGTTGTGCCGGTGCAAGAACCTTATCAGAAATTCCAAGTACAACTTCCTCTTAGCTATAAGAAATTCAGAGGCCAAAGAGTCAAAACACTGTTCCATAGCTTGCAATATAAGGCTCAAGTGCCTCCCTTTATTCCCTATGTCCTCATACTTATCAATTTTAACATTTTGAATCTATCTAAAAACTTTCTGCTTGTATTATGTTTTGTTCAGTATCCACTGACAAGTTTCTCCAAGCACATTTGTATTCCTTTACTCATACTAAACATGCTGAATATACTGGACATACTCAAAATCTCTATAGTTTTATGCTCTGCCTACATGTATTTCAGGTAGAGTTCATGTTCTGTGCACTCAACACCCATTACAGTGTGAGTGAGACACACCGCAAGCACTAAAGACATCTAGGCATACTATTGCTGTAGAAAACATTAGGTAGCTTAATGCAAGCCTGGGATTATAATCACGCAAAAATTTGTTTTGGCTGTATTAATAATTTGTTACATTGGTTTTCTTGTGTGCTTTCTTACATGAAATGTGAATGTATTTTTTTGCACTGAGACTGCTGAACAAAACCTAAGAAGTCGATGTTTTTTGAGACAGCATTCAGTTAAGCCATCTCTTTCCTCTGTGTCATCAGCTGTGTCTACAGATACCTTGCACGAAAACCATTCAGATTCATTCCCGTTCCCCTCTCTATCTGGAACATCAACACTCTTGCCATCAATCATCAAAATTGCTCTGGCCATGGAAAGGTTCCCTTGCTTCTAATAGGCCCTCCTCTAACTACAGCAATTCTAATTAAAAAATTTACTCATTTTCTTGCAGAGAATTACTATGAAAACAAAAAAACATTAAAAAGCTACAATAGGAATAGAGTAATGAATTATACCATTATCAAGTGGAGGACGAGGCTTTTTTCTCTGCTTGAACTGCTGAGGCTTCACAGAACGACCCAAGCTTTGTTGTACATGATGTAATTTTGTTTCTAAATCAGCTAACCGTCGTTGGATTTTTTGATACACTTGTCTATGTTTCCGCCGAACTGCTTTACTAAGAGATGAATCATTGGCCATACCAAGGGCAGCATCTGCAATATCCTTTTGAATTTTGTACTCTAGTTCCAAAGCTGCCAATGTTTCTTCCTGGAATAAAAATTATAAATGAGGTAGAAAAGTAAGTACACAAAATGAAGTTCTGAAGTCGAAATTCCAAGTACTTCACATTCCCCCAAAAAAAACAAAGAAAATATGTAACTGGAATAATGAAAATCAATAAAATAACGTAATGCCCTTAGGGACCAAATCCCCTCAAATCACTCATCATAATTTTTCATATTTTTGGCATTCACATACTGAACCAAAATTCACTCATTAATTATGGCATGCTCAGACTTTTTAAAGGGAGTTGAGAACTACTTGTGTTACGAGTCTACGTTATCACTTGGAGTGTCATTGCCTGACAGTTTTGTTAGAAATTGCCTTCAGACGTATTGATGGGTTGTGAACGAGATTCGCTCCACTCAGTTGGGGAAGTCCCACAGTAACATGTGATGTGTGACCAACCACTGCATTTTAAACTGTCATGTTCATCATATATCACAAAACTCTGAAGTATTAGGCTTGAACATATTCAAAATACTGGCTTATTCACATACAATTTAGTGAAATATGTAATAATGTTTGTTTCACCAAAAATATTTATTTTTATGCAACTTAATCAAAATATTTATTTTATGGCAATATGCAATTTGGTATACGGCACTATGAGTGTTTACTTGAATTTCCATTAAACTTTGAACACTCATGATTAAGGAGGGAAATTACGTTCAAGCCCTATTCATAATTCAATATGGGATATCAGTTATAATTCTGTACCTCGGAGATAAAGGGACCTATGTTACTTTTTTATTTTGTCATGAAGGCTCTCCTGCAACATTGAGTCAAACGAGTTGTATTACTATGTAAGTAAACGGATATGGAGTCCTGACTGCTGCTTATTCCATTACTGTGTTTTGGACACAGATCGTATTGATGGTGGTGTTAGGCAACACCTTGGCTCAAGTGTATGTGTGATTGGGAGGTCGCGGGCTCAATTCCCACCAAGTGCCTAAGATTCATTCAATGTGGCACCAGCCACAATCAAATACTTAGATAGACTGCTCCAATCAGCTGTTTACATGAAATCTCTAATTGATTCCAGGCAAATGCTAGAGCAGCACTCTAAAATACTGTCTAGAGACAATGTGCAATTCTTATTTCCCTATCCTGTCCCCATTTCCAATCCTTAGGACTGAGAAATATACCAATTCCTTTCCTCCTACAATTCATACCATTGATCCAGAAAATCTCGGACAAATATTGAAAATCTGGTATATGGTGTACATCTTAACAGGTATAAAAATTATTTGACATTTGTTAGTCAATTTAATCCCCCCTGTTACCTCAAAGTTACATTTCATTTTAACAGGCAAATATCACCTACTGATAAGTGAATTGAATCAGATTTTCATTAGTAATTTAAATCAGAATTCTTCTCATATTCACAATTCACCAGGTGACCACAAAACAAATATGACAAATCCTACAAGGGCCTCCATAATTTGTATAGTTTCTTGAACTCGGTCACTACATGGTAAATGAAAACAGAGATGCAATGCTTAATTTGGGAACTAACAATCTTTATGATAATTTCAAACACACTCACCTCTTTAGTTTTTACATTATTATTGTTAATTAAATTTTCAGGATACGTAAATGCAGTGCCTACTCTCCTCCTGAATTGTGGAGGAGACTCTCCTGGTTCCAGTGGAATTTCTGGAGGAAGGAATCCAGTTAATTCTGCTTCTTTTATGCATAATGTTTTCAATTCTTGAGTTTTATCATGAAGCTTAGCCTCAAGAGTATCCTTGCGAGCCTGAAGAGATGCAAGCAACTGACTTGTTGAACGCCCACTCTCGGACATTTCGTATCCTGTCAATGAAATAAATTGTAGCCATTTTATAAAACCTTTATGAAATCATTGAAATAATATACATTAATGTCACTTTTAATAAATAGTGCACTAAGAAAGGAATAAGAAATATTAAATGAAGTAAAAAATCTTAAAATACATCGCTGATAAAGAACTGAAGGAACTGACAAGTTTTCATTAAAAGAAAATTTTATAGATCAATATTCAATATTCCAACAACTAACTGAACATGAGGCAACCCTTGTTTTTATAACTTGAAATTAATATAAGAATTTCGGAAGACAAGATGCCATTTGTGGCTCTCGCACACAGACATTCTTTACGAAGTAAGAATTTCATGGTGAAGTGACCACATTGTGACCCTTACAGATTGGTAGAAAAACAAGTCTGAATCTGGCAGGTGCAAAATGCAACTGGCAATACATAACCTTCTAAACAATCTGAGCTTTAACTCGTCAATCATGCGAGGAGTCCTCTAGCTTTAAAACTTGTCTCTTTGGGCTTAAGTTATGTTCGGCATATTGAAATTTACAAAATGAAATCTTCTGGAAACTTCTATTACGTTTTGGGAGTTGGCACTTCAGAGATCTGATAAATTTAGAATTGTACTAGTGCATTTTCCTTAATGCCCAAAGATAAAATGATCTCTGACTTTTAGACCTTTAATTGCCTTATTTTCACGTAAATATTATAATTACTATTTATCTAGCAAACAAAGTGGAACTAATTTTCTGCTCCTAAGAAATTCATGTCCCATTTGTGAGCCTAACAGGATTCATTGTGAATATAACTGTGTATAACAGTGATAAATCTTTGAAAAACAACTTTATGATGAAATGAAGGTCGTAATGAATGTGGAATATTTATCATGACCTTTCAGCAACAGATCGAATTGGAGGGGGGTCTAATAAGTCATGCTGCCCCCACCAAAGGACATTTGTTTTGTAATTTTATTAAATTTCTCCAAAACTATATTTTCATTGCACCATCCATCCAGGAATGAGTTTGTGTTGTGAATTATCATTTTTCTTATTTCAAGCTAACTTTTAAAATATTACATAAAATATATTGGTTAAAATTTAGTATACGGTACACCCTTAGAGAAGCGTAGCGGCGGGCCTTAAGCCCTAAATACTGTACGTGCTCTAATAGAAATGAATAACACTTACGGATAGACAATTTTCACTGTTCACCCTTCATATGCTTTGTCCCCACCGCATTGTAACGCCAATTTACTTTCAAAGGCAAGTTTTCTCGCTTTGCTCGCCCAGTTCCAAGTCACAGCGAGGCTCGGGCCTTCGGCCCTCGCGTTCACTATAAACATCCTTGAGTCTATCCAACGCATAATCACCAATTCACTTTTATAAAACATCGCTTTTCAACAAAGCCTCCAGAATTCTGCCTAGTTAATGCTGGAACGGCGCGAAGTGCCACTTTAAACCACTTCCTTAGGTTCTACCGTATACTACATTTCAGCCAAAATATTTATTAAGTGGATCCAAATACTCCCTTCTGCCAGTCCCATCCCTTTAAAAAAAATATTTAAATCACTTTTTAGATATGCCTCTGCTATTCTTCGACTCACAGTTATTGGTTTCTTTGAAAAGGCCAAAATTATCCAAAAAGTTTTTACATACACAAAAAATGTACAAAGTATTTTTTAAATGTCAGAATTCTGAATGAAAAAAAGAGAGGAATGTACAAAGAAAAATAAAAAAAAAAATGTATAAATATAAATGAATGGGTGAAAACCAGAACGGTATAAATGACATTTTATACATTCAGAGAAATCTGTTTATTTAAGTCAATATTACTGTAAAGTCATAGTGCTTTGTTTAATCCTTAAAAACACATCATTTCAAACTGTTCATTACAACAAAGAAACAAAAATTGCCACTGAAATATAGCCTAAAACAAACAGTTCCTCTAAGAATGTATAAAATGTCATTTACACAGTTATAGTTTTCACCCATTCAAATATAAAATGAAATATGTCATTACATAATCCATTGGTTATTACATTTACACCGTGTCTGTTCTGCCTGTACATGGCAATTTGATATAACTAATAGCATTAATATTCAAAGAGGAAACTTCATGGTAGTGAATGCTTAAGCATTTATTCTCATTTATCCATGAAGTTAAATAACATTTTACACTATTTATCCTCTTTATTGGAGATACCAAATTTGCAAAATGTGACAAGAATGACTATGTTTAAATTTCATTCCTGTTCATTTTGACAAGAAAAACCATTTACTAGGCAATATACACATCAAAATTTTAAAAAATAAGAGATTGCATAAAAAGAATTTAAATATGAAAATTCGACATACTAACCTGTAGTAAGTTCTCCAAATACAAAGTGTCACACATAACATGATGTGCTCATAGCACATGTAAGTCAATAATGTAAGTTTGTTTCCTTGAATCAGACTATTTGCAAATACGAGTATGTATATCCCATTTCAATGGCAACACAACACATTTCTTCTTTCTATATCATATAGACTGACAATCTTATAAAATCTTGATATAGAAAATATTAATCTTCTTATCACCAATCTGTGCACAGAAAATTGATGTCATTAACTAGTGAAGACAAAAAAGAGAGATTAAACTTTTCAAACATAAGAGGCACCTTTCACTGTCCATTAAAAATCAAAACAAAACAAAAAAGAAATAAACTTGAAAATTGACATGTGCAATTCTGGATTCTAACGTTGCAACAGTGGCATGTCTTTAAAGAAATTTCATTCCATTTCCCTGAAAAACTAATAAATTTAACTCGCCCATAATTCTTAAATGTATACTATTCACTGTCAATATCAAAACTAAAAACGGCTCATCAACTAAGATAAAAACATGGCAGGTCCTTTGTATTTGTATTTCCTTAAACGCGGAAGTGCATCACAGTGACGATAATGACAGATACAATGACTCACCCCAAAAAAATAATTTTATCTGCTTCAACCACGGCATATAGCCTCAACTATCAGCTTTTAAATCCAAGTTCAGAACAGGTCATCTGAGCAATGTCAGAATTCCTAGCATATCTAAGGCAATAACTATCGTAACCGCATATCATTTTGACGTTACTCATAAGTCACAATTATACACATTAGCAAGAACATGGTTAGTCACAGTCAGTTTAGCTCACCTCTGCGAAAACAAGACACGACACAAAGCGAGAGCAGTATATCACGATGTGTTTAAACAAGTTTAGCACATATTACAATCAACTCCTTTAATTTTGGAATGATGCAAATAAAATTGTCTCACATAACGGTCAGGTAACAACAACTTATGAAACACAATGAAACAAAATAGAACGCAAGAACAACAATGGGGCAACAACGAACTCAAAGAATATATCTATGAAAATCACAGGAAGACGACAGTGGCTCCGCCAAACGAGGAAACATACGACTCTGAACATCCGCGAACACTGTTACGATTATTATTCATGATTAGTATTAAAAGACGGAAATATTTCGGGAGAAAGAACGGATAAGACAATTTTTGTGTGACAAGGTTGACAAGAATACGTTTGTTTTTAAAACGGAATTGATTACTTACAAGACAGTGTATCACTGAAATAAGTAAGTATTTATCGGCAGAATGTTGCGGCAGAGAATGAAAGTGCTTGAATATATGTTAACAGGTCGTGAAAGAATCAAGTTCATTTTTTTTAAATCTAACAGACTTTCTTCGTGACAAACTAAAATTCTTTGCAGTGGTAAGATGGAAGCATCGTTTTAAGCCCCGCTATGTCAAGGGACCCGTGCTTCCTAACTACAGTCAAATTTAATTATTTCCTTCTTTCTTTCGTAGTACTACAGAATGGCACAGACTTTCCCGTATTAGTTTCCTATTTCCTTTGATCTCGGCTATCTATTCGGCTTTGCCATATACTCTAGCCAGGTGCCATCTATTGCCACCGAAAGAACATGTTTTTTGACATTTTCTTAATTTCTCGGTTTCCTAATAGTAGAACAGAAATATTATTTTAAGAATATTAAAGAACAGTAAAACTTCGACCTAAATGGCAATTTTCTTTCCAAAATTTGGAGCTGTTTTTAAGAAAATGATGTTTAAGCGCAAAATTCGAAATCTGACCTCTTTTCACAGAAAACTTGAGTTTCCGAAAATCTTCATATGAAGTCATTTCAAGCACTTCCAGTTGCAAATGCAATAGTGTTCACAAATCGCTAGAAATATGCATATTAAAGCCGCGAGAGATTTTCAAAAAATTATATTAGTGTAATTTTTGAAAAAACAAAAAATACGATGAAATAAACATTACGTCCCTCTCTTTCTCTCCCTTTCTCTCCCCCTCTCTCTCCCTTAATATATATATATATATATATATATATATATATATATATATATATATATATATATATATATTCACGCGCCCCGAACATCAGAATAACTGTTAAAATATCGATAAAATTTACTAGATGGCGCTGTAGAACAAAACTTAATATTCATGGCAAATGCAACCCGCAACACACTTAACAGGATTTGTTCAATCTATATCGTTAAATAACTGCTAAACGAAGCATTCTAGAGCATTAAAACTAAAATTTTGAGGCCAAAGGACTCTTATATGCTTTTGCATGTTCCTTTGTACATTTGTAAAATTACAAATATTGCCGAAATTCGGTTTGTGGAAACTTACAAGAAAAATAAAATACGATTCTCGCCTGATATAATATCATCTCAGTTTGTAGTCTGTAGCAAAGATTCAGTGACACCTGCCGGAAATGTTGGAACTACTAACTCTCTATCTGTCGAGCGCGTTGAGAAATTTGTCACAACTCTCCGGTTACGTTCTCAACTCATCGGCACATTCTCGCAAAGCCCTCGCGAAGCCCCATTTCCTCGTCCCTAACAGACACCGGTTTATTTTCGCCTACATTACACCGTTGAAGTGAAAAGTGTAGCAAGACAGTGTATACACTCAGTCTCTCAGTAAACGTGTGGTTTAATTTCTTGTATTTAATTTGCAGTTAATGCAAGAAAATTGTGATGCGAAAAATGATGATTGAGATTTTTCGGTAAATAAATCTGTTCACAAAATGTAAAGAAATAAGGTCATGTATCGGAACTTGGGGTGACTTTATCCTAAAATGCACGACTTTTTAGATATTTATTTTAAATGATAGACTAAATAAAGGAAATTTTGTTAAAAACCTTCAACATTTTGTAAAAAAGTGCCTTCATCTTCCATTTCTTTTTTATCTCCCACACGATTTATAGACGGTGCATTTGAGGACAGAGATTGTGACTGAAGATGAAATAGATCATTAGTATGACACGGTGTAAGAGACACAATCTTGAGGCGAGGTATTTTGACTCGCATCCATACAGCGTCCAAGAAACCCCATTTTAGTTCATTAGCAGACTCATTTCAGGTTAATTTCACCATGTTTAGGTGTTTTCGTTTATATACAATTATACTATTTTCTTAAGGAATTCACGTGAAATGTAAATTTCACCATACATTCCATGCAACAGCAATAATCAAAGATGTGTAAGTGTAAGTTTACAGATAACACAAAAATATATTGTGTTTACCACAAGACACATTACCATTGCAATAATTAGTCAATTCAAGGAAAAGCAATACTTGGATAACACGAGGGGTGAAAATATGATGTAAAGACAAACAAGTTCTTTATTTCATTTCTAAACATCATAAAGTTTATGATGATTTTCAATGAATGCTGTGTACTTTCATAAAAACACATCATTGTTTAAAAAGTTATATGGCAAGTTAAAATCATGAAACATAAGAGGATATTTTAACTCAACCAAACAAAAGTAATGTGGAATATTAAGAGAAAAATCATCAACTAATACTTTTTTTTTTGGCGGCATCAACTTCTAGGTCATTAGCGATCACTATTGCTTGTAACGGTATGAAAACTGTAAGGGTGACACGATATGATGCTGATAGGAGGTGAAAACGGACACAATACAACCCTGCCCAGGTGGGACTCGAACCTGGTCCGAGATTCTACGGCACTACTGTGTTATCGATCTCGGCCGCCGGATCGAGAACTAGAAGTAAAAGAGACTTATCTATATAGGAATGGAAACCTTTCTCAGTAAATACGAAGAGTTTTCGAAATGTCAACATAGATTTAGAAAATCAAAATCTATAGGAATGCTATATTTCCTTTCCTTAAAGAGTTCATTTCATCCATAGATCAAAATGAACCACCTATTAGAAAATGTTTAGATTTCTCAAAAGCATTTGACGTTATTTATCTTACTTTACTTTCAAAATCAATTTCGTAAAAAATCGTGGTATTGCTCTAGATCGGTTACGTTCACACAACCTTTAATAATGATCTCAGAGAGTAGAAATACTGTTCTGGAATGAAAAGACGTTAGTATTTACCCATCTTTTAAATTCATTGCTAATTGCGCAAGGGGTCTCGCAGGATTCAATTTTAGACTCTATCATCTAACTACTACAAGTAAACAATATCCTCTTGGCGATTCGAAACGGAGGAACAGTTCTCATGGCTGATGATACGAATAGGGGTATCGGGGGCAATAAGGGTCACTTTTTGTTTTTTCAATTTGTAAATCAGTAAGAAATGTTCCTATCAACAAGTATGTGCTTTTATATTACACGTTAGTTATAAAGTTTGTGTTTTCACCACACAAAATAATAAAAAGTCACAAAACCCTCTCAAATATCGAAATTTCAAAAATTGCATTTTACCCCCATTACCCTCACATGCGGGTAATGGGAGTCACTAAAGAAATATGAAGCCAAATGAACACATTAGTATTTCAAACAGAATTTATTTTCTTTATAAAAGTTGTATTAAAGTAACGTGGCTCTCAAGATTGTCCAAGATCAGCAGCACTAGTTTCTGGGCAGTTGGGCAAGTACGGCTTTTAAAGTATTTGAGCCATTCGAATTCTTCATCCGTCAAGCCATTCTTGCTACATGTGTAAATAGCACCAGGGGGTATTTATACTCATTCAGATCAATAAATTATTTTACTTGGGGCAATGGCAGACACGGTGCGATAATGAGAATCACTGACCACCATTATTCCGCAAGCACATGTTTATTTTAACTATTAATAAACTTTTATAGAATGTTTAAAATTGTTCCCAATTTGTATCGAATGATTTGCTGAAGTATTTTCCTTCCAACAAATTTTCATTTTTCCCGAAATCTTCAAGTTCGCGTGAGCAAGGCTTTATTTTTTGAGAGCACTTTCCTGTTACGAACGCGATAATCGTCGAGTAAGCTTTTTTGGTTGCTGCAATCAATTGACTATAGTTGTCATGACTAATAGTAGGTAGAAGATATGTTTCTGCCTTTCAATATGGTTTGTTTACAATATTTCTCGATAATTTACCGCTGGCTCCTATTATTCTGTGACCCCCATTACCCCCGCTTCTTTGCAATAAAGAAACAGTAAGTAGTCCAATATCAATGTTTCAAATTGGTTCCGTAATAAAAAATAGTAAACAAAAAACGTTTGCAACGTAGTTTTCCAATTCAAATAAACAACTCCATTGACTATGAACTGTTTAACTTTATAGAAACAACACATAAATCAGTTTAACATTTCTTTATTCATATCATTCTTACATGAGACAAACTACGTTACACTGACTAACCCATAACTCTCCTCCTCGTCGTCCCACTACACACATACATACACTCACTCAAAAACATATTCGGACACCTACGATTTTACCACTTTTTTTAATTAGAAGAAAATCTTAAACTTGTCGTAATTTCAGTTGTAAATAATGAAAGACGCACATATCATACTTTAGAACAACATGCAAGTTTAATTTTCACGTTAAAAATTATTAAATTACAATAAATTTGAAGAATATTCTTTTGTAACGCCAAAAAATACTAGGACACATAATATAAACAAATTAATAAAATTAAATAAAACAAAAAATAAGTTCATCAATAACTTGTAAGGAGTCATTTAATTTTCAAAAGTTCATTCAACCTCTTTGGCATGCTGTCAACGAGTTTTCTAGTATACCAGGGTTGCCTTTTATATTTCAAAATTAGAGAACAAAAACAAATATTAGTCATCGAAAATCACTTTATTGTTTTTCAAAATATTCCCCAGGAAGATCTATACACTTTTGCATGCGTTTGAACCAATTGTTGAAGCACTTTTGCCACTCTAATTGAGATATCTCCAAAACATGCTTTCTGAATGCAGCAACCGCTTCTTTAGGTGTCGAAAAACGACCTCTCAGTTTGTTTTTTACGTACGGGAATAAAAAGAAGTCATTCGGTGCCAAGTCAGGACTATACGTCAGATAACTCATCAAATCGATGTTTTGGGTGCTCAAAAATGCAGTTATTTGAGCTGATGTGTGAGCTCGCATTGTCGTAGTGCAGAGTGATCCG